CTAGCCTGCTTTACTGAGGTGATATATATTTTATATTTACATCACATTGGTTCATTTCCCTGTATTTTTTACCATGCTGCTCTGAATATTTAGTCTGAATTAGCATGCAAGTATAGCTAAGTAATTAGGAGTGTGCAATTAATCGAAAATTCAATTTAGATTTTGGCTTCTAACGATTATGAAAATCATTAATCGAGATAAAATGATCAATGCATCATATATGGCCCCCTTTCCAGTTGTACACATTTGTTGCTCTGCAAAGCTTAGTTTCACATGAAAATTACTAAAAGCATGTACTGTAATGTAACTTTTGCAGCACGGGATGCGCATCGTTCATTGATGTACATTCAAATCATGCGTGTGCGAATGAGATCGCATGTCGCAGCTGAGTGTGTGCGGCGCACACACAATATGCGGTCAGCATTCGGTCTCATTCCCATACTATGTGTTTAGTGGCGAGCAGATGAGCTAAAGTCATCTTTATGTGAGCGCTTTAATGGTCAAATAGGTGTCAAAACGCTGTGTTTGGTGATTATTCACATTAACCCTCATTTGTGTAATAAAAAACTAGTTGAGAATCAAAAGACACGTGAAAGAAAGCATTAAAGTGACAGTGTGCAATATTCCTGCTGCCACCTGTTTTTATCAATCAAACAACAAAAAGGAGAAAATCACTCACTGCTCTTGACTGAAGGACTTTTGTAGCTAAAGTTTTATTCTTAGTGTGAAGATACTTAAAGCACAGTTTGTTTTATATTTTTATTCTATTGTATTTGTTTCCCTTTCCTTATTTACAGGGAGGAAAATAACTGCATACACAGTTGAAGTGAAAATTATTAGCAACCCTTTCACCCCAATTTATGTTTAATGGAAAGAAGATTTTTTTTCAACCCATTTCTAAACAATTTCTAAACGGTTTAATAACTAATTTCTAATAACTTATTTATTTTATCTTTACCTTCATGACAACACAATATTTTACTAGATATTTTTCAAAATACAAGCATTCAGATTCAAAGTGTGATTCAAAGGCTTAATTGGGGTAATTAGGCAAGTCATTGTATAACAGTAGTTTCTTCTGCAGACAATCAAGCAATATATTGCTTAAGGGGGCTAATAATATTGACCTTAAAATAGGTTTCAAAATGTTTAAGCCTGCTTTTATTCTAGCCAAAATAAAACATATAACACTTTCTCCAAAAGAAAAATATTATAGGAATTACTGTGAAAGATTCCTGAATCTGTTAAGCATCATTCCGGAAATATTTATAAAAAAAAAATAAAAATTGAAAAAATTCACAGGAGCGCTAATAATTTTGACTTTAACTCATAATCGTTTTGAATAAACGTGATTACAACTATGTGGACACCTAATCATTGTACATATCGCTGTCGATTTCACATTGTCGTTGTATTTGCACTCTCTGTATTTTGCACTGTCGTTGTATTACTTTGTACAGATCAGGTGCTGCTGATGATGTGACAATAAAAGTGATTTGATTTGATTGAGTAAATAGCTAATAAATTGTTGTATTTTTTAACTAATATTACCACAGCAGCTCACTGTTGATTTTAAGCCATTAACTAACATTTAATGATGTTAAGTGGGACATTATTGTAAAGTGTTACCTATTTCATGTTACAGTCCTCTTGCGTTTTTTCAAACATTTAAACAATTTTTAAACAACTTAAACATTTATTGATTCTGAACATGTTCAGTATAGACAATTACAAAGCTTTATTATTATGCCTGTTAAAGTAACCTTTTATTACAGATTAGGTCAGTATTGTGAAAATACCTTATCTGATAAAAGCTTTAGCAATTAATCGCAACAAGAACATTATGAACATTATGAATGCTTGATATTTTGATAAAGGAAATGTTGCTTTCATGTTATTTCATCACGTTCCTTATAGATACAGGGCATATTTTACTCTACAAGTTTGTTCCATTTCAGAATAACTAACTGGTACTGAGTGTTCAGATTTTAATGATGTGTTAGTTTGTGTTTGGTTAGTTTTAGCTTTATTCTATTTCTATATGAACTTGTGTGTGTGAAAGTGAGTTTGTATAAAAGATGGTCTCTGATTACTTATATATATATTTCTAAGTATTTTTCTTTTTTTTTAAAGGAATTCAACATATACTGAACCAAATAAAGCTGACCAGAGGACATGAAGTCATAAGACATGACCCTGAACAGGAAAGAATACCCAGGCATCCCTGGTTTTTCTCAAAGTCACAATTTTGCCTTACAGTTCATCAGAGGCCTTGAAAAGCCTCCTTGAAGCAAGTCTTCATTTGTGTGACAGGAATTCTTGTTATTGAGTTGACTGTTTTACACATTTCAAGTACTTTGCTGATATAAAAGCCATCACATGTCCACACATATAACAAGTGCACTCAAAAACAATCACTGCTGCTTGTTCAAATTACCTGTTTAAAATGAGCTGAAACAACACAATTCTTGTCATTTCTTTGGCCAATTTATTTTCAGTCCACTTAAATGTGTAAACCATTGAGTTAACTTAAGCATTTAGTGTTGGGAGAACATGAAAAAGTTACATTGGTCCAACCATCTAGTTAGGGGATTTGTAGTTCCCATGTCCCAGCCAGCATGCTTTGAGTGATATTCAATTAAGAGAGGGAAATGTTGACAATAAAAGTAATCTTAGGTAGTTAACAGAAAGACTTGTTGGAGTTTAATATTCACTTCAGTTTGAAGATTAAGAAGTAGGGATGGGTACCGAAACCAACTTACTATTCTCACAGAGATTATGAAGTGTCTGATGGATATAATGACAAAAGAATAGTAAATGTGCAGTGAACTATACATTCATAATTTGCCATATGTGGACATATGTTTTAAAAGTCAAATTATTATGTTCAGGCAGTTTGATTAAAAGGTGATTCAACCAATCATTATACACAAATTCTGTGCCAAGTAACTGTCTGGCCATTTTTCAAGCAATCAGTCAGACTAACAAAGCATAGTAGAATAACATCGGCGACAGCCGTGAAAAAAGGTGAGAATGTGCTCATATGGAACACATATACAATATACACACAATTTTTTATTTTCCTGAAACCTTGAGAAGTAAAATGGACTTGTGTGGACACCAGCCTCAACATCAGCTGTCACAAGATGACTTGAAACACAAGGACTGAAAACAGATGAACTAATCTTGTCTGTTACTGAACCAATACAGCCCATGTAACTTTAGTTTATAGAGATATGATTTGACCATAACCAGTGAACTACCTGAAGGCTCAGAAGATGAAAGGCGAGATGAGCAAACTTAAACCAGATAGTCTGGAGACCAAAATAAACAATGAATTCATATCTGCTGTCTCTTATAATTTTGTAGATCCATTATTGTTATTTTCAAGACGAAATGTTTTGCATGAGTTTGTGAGTTATGTGTTAGGGAATTCATTTGTAACATTTTAATTATATTCAAATTATCTGAAATTCCCATCAGACTTGTAGGCTACATTTTTAATATTTGTTTTGTTTACACTATAGTTATGCTCAATTCCTGAATTTGCCTCATATTGCAAATGTTTATGTCTTCTTCTGCGTGAAATCAATAGGCTATGTCATATTTTCAGAAATTATTCACTATTTCCCAGGGGAGCGCACAAATTTATAGGCAATCACTACAGCTGATACTGGATGTTTGTCTGAGAAAGAAGGAAGGTGGAGAGGTGGTTGCGAAGGGTCAATTGCTTTCAAAATGTAGTATGTACACACAAAATGTATTAGTTTAGAGACTTCTATGGCTTGGCACACAACGTAGAGACAATGTACACTCACCGGCCGCTTTCCAACTGCTGTTAACACAAATTTCTAATCAGCCTATCATTTAGGCAGGCATGTATACATAGTCAAGACGGTCTGCTGCAGTTCAAACCGAGAATTAGAATGGGGAAGGTGACATGGTTGTTTGTGTCAGACAGGCTGGTCTAAGTATCACAGAAGCTACTGCAACAGTTCTGTGGGTGCAAATGCCTTGTTGATGCCAGAGGTCCGAGGAGAATGTCCAGACTAGTTCAAACTGATAGAAAGACAACAGTAACTCAAATACATACAACCGAGTTATGCAGGAGAGCATCTCTAAATGCACAACATGTAGAACTTTGAGGCAGATAGGCACCACAGCAGAAGACCACACCAGATGCCACTCCTATCAGCTTAGAACAGGAAACGAAGGCTACAATTCACACAGGCTTACCAAAATTGGACAATAAAATATTAGAAAAACGTTGCCTGGTCTGATGAGTCTCGATTTCTGCTGTGACATTTGGGTGGTAGGGTCAGAATTTGGCATCAACAACATGAAAGCAAGGATCCATCCTGCCTGGTTTCAAAGGTTCAGGTTTGTGGTGGTAATGTAATGCTGTGGGGGAATATTTTCTTGGCACACTTTGGACCCATTAGTACCAATTGAGCATGGTGGCAATGCCAGAGCCTACCTGAGTATTGTTGCTGACCATATCCATCTCTTTATGACCACACTATACCCATCTTCAGATGCCTACTTCCAGCAAGATAATCCACATTGCATAAAGCGTGAATATTCTCAGACTGCTTTTTTGAACATGACAATGAGTTCACTGTACTCAAAAGGCCTCCACAGTCACCAGATCCCGATCCAATATAGCACCTCTGGGATGTGGTGGATTGGGAGATTCGCATCACGGATGTGCAGCCAACAAATCTGCAGCAACTGCGTGATGCTATAATGTTAATATGAACCAAAATGTCTGAGGAATTTTTTCAGCACCTTGTTGAATCCATGCCACAAAGGATTAAGGCAGTTCTGAAGGCAAAAGGGGGTCAAACCCAGCACTAGTAAGCTGTACCTAATAAAGTGGCCAGTAAGTGTATACTCGTACAAACTTAAAATAACAACATGGAAAAAGTCACTTTACAATCATTGCTTCCAAATATTTAAATGATTCATCCAATTCAGAAATGAAGATCAGAAAGTCTTGCCTCATAGTAACTGCGCACAGCGTTGCAGAAAGCCTCATCAGCGACAATCTGAGTCTCTCCTTTCAGGAAGGCCTGGAAGCGCTCCTTCACCACCTGCAGCTGTTGCTTGTTCAGCTGAAAGAAGAAAAAAGAAGTAAAAAAAACAAGGCAACATTAATTTATTTTCCTTCAGCTTAGTGCTTTTATTAAATCAGGGGTTGCGGAATGAACCACCAACTTATACAGCAGGTTTTACACAGCAAGTGCCCTTCCAGTTGCTACTCAGCAGTGGGAAATATCCATACACTCTCACATTCACACATATACACTATGGCCAATGTAGCTTATTTAATTCATCCGTATCGCATATCTTTGGACTGTGGTGGAAATCGAAGCACCCGGAGGAAACCCACACCAACTGAAGGACAAGGTGACATTTTTTTATTTTTTTTTTATGCATTAAAAGATGGGCTTTTTAAAATGTTTGTTATCACAACAAATCAACTAAGTGTTGAGCGTGTATTCATTAAAATTACATTTACTGCTAAAATGATAGTCTGTAACTGCAATTTAATAGTAATGTTCATGAAGAATGGCTTTCCTTAAGTACAAATAACCTAATTTTACTTGTATGCATTCATGAAATGTTGTTTGTTGTGTCTTTTTTTTTTTGGTATTACTGATGTTTTGGTAATGAACAACGAGTAGAAAAACACAATTATTTTCCCATCCTTTGATGTGCTACGCAAGCTGCAGCAAAATCAGCAGGAACTATCGAACAAACATATTCTATAATGTTCTGATAAATAGCTTTATTCAAAATATTTTTTTTATTCTCCAAAAAAAAAAAAAAAAAAAAACATTAGTCAGAGCTTTGATGTTGTTTGGGGGATTCCAATCAAATTTGCCCACAGGGAGCATGAGAGGAGGCTGCTTTAGAAATCAGGACCATTAACTGCTTTTCTTAGACATCATAGTTATGACTCATCATACATATACATCCAAGATAGCCATTTTGAAAACTGGCTATGGCAGAGAGCTTGTAAAATAAAACTAAATGTGAAGAACTGTCAAGTAACAGTGGTATGAAACACAAACACATGTTGCCGATTACATGTTAAGCTCATATTTCACTTCAAAATCATCATAGTTTAAAAATAAATAAATAAACAATGCTATTATATGCATTTTGCATATGCACATAAAAAACCTGCTGATGGAAACCCCATACTGCGCAAAAATGTTGAAAATGCGCAGTAAAAAAAATGTATGCGCATACCTGAGCAGGATTAACTTTTTATTCGATAAGAAAAGATGAGCAAAAGCTACAATGAATACACTTTTACCGCACAATTTTCAGTGTGTGCATTAAAAAAGGTCATGTGATTTTGTGATAAGAGATCATGTGATGATGAAAATGTGTGTGAATGGACAAACCAGCAAGCTGAGCACAAAGTAAACCATCTGAAATGTTGTTTTGGTCATTCTAAAATGTCTTACCATTTAAGTATTACTGTTATTATATTATTAATGATGTCCAGAGTCAAGAGTGTCTGTGCTCCACGTCTGACACTTTCAAACGCCACCGCGCGTTCACTGCGTGTCAGGATTGCCTTCTGAGGAGCAAGTCATTTATTAGATGAAGAAAAGATTTACACAGCTTCTTCTACTGCAGCAAATTTCGTTTTTACTGTTAATATTTGGCGCAAGTTAATAGGAAGTGACAATTTTGTTCGCACGTCTTTTATGCGATAATCCAGTTGTGTTCGTTCGCATTTTTGGTTGGAAACATAGCTACTGTGGCGCTGTGGGTAGTACATTCGCCTCACAGCAAGAAAGTCGCTGGTTTGAGCCTCGGCTGGGTCAGTTGGTGTTTCTGTGTGGAGTTTGCATGTTCTCCCCGCATTATCGTGGATTTCTTCTAGGTGCTCCGGTTTCCCCTACAGTCCAAAGACATGCGGTACAGGTGAATTGGGTAGGCTAAATTGTCCGTAGTGTATGAGTATAAATATTTATGGATGTTTCCCAGAGATGGGTTGCAGCTAGAAAGGGCATCCGCTGCATAAAACATATGCTTGATAAGTTAGCGGTTCATTCTGCTGTGGCGACCCCAGATTAATAAAGGGACTAAAATGAAAAGAAAATGTATGAATGAATGAATGAATTAATTAATTAATTAATCAATTAATGAATTTTGCATTGATATTAGAAGCATCCTAAAGATGCAGGGTAGTATGAAGCTGTCTAGCAAATAGCTTTTGTTTATTTTCCTTCATGTCAATAGCAAAGCGAGGCCTCAGGCAAATGTAACAGATACTAAATGTGCAACAACAGACAACGGATTTATAACCACTGTAAATTCCCACCGAGTTTTAGCAACCTACAGGATGTCCTTGATTTGATGTCATGAATCTGTCTTGCATCTAAAGCGATGCCTCATGAAGTCTTTAAATTAGCATTCTAGCACACATCCGTTTCTAAAAAAACAAACAGATCCCAAGCAGATTCAAACACATAACTGTGCTGTTTACCATGTTGTGAATGTGTTTCTGGTTGCAGGCGCACATTATGCAGTAATCAGTAAGAGCCACTGAGCACTTGTTTGGACATCACCACTAAGTAAGTACACTACAAAAGTACAGCACATGCATCTCCCGTATGTAGCACTCGCTTGTCATCTCACTTTCCGCAGCTTATCCACTTTCTGTTGTGATTGATTTGGCCTTGTCGCTTCGTGAGTCAGTGATCCAGTCTCTCTTGTTTGTAAAGCAATGCAGCGTGTTGACAGACTCGCTCTAAATATCCCTCACAGAAGCATGGATTGAGGTGCAAAGAAAAAAAGGGATTAAAGTAGTAGTATAGTAGGTGGGGCAGCATTTTTTTACTGCTTTGTTTACACTGCAAGATGAATCAGCGACAGAGTTTCACACTGCATGCCTTTACAATAGGAATCGCCAACAACAATTCGCAAACTATGTCTCACAACCAAACATACGCGAGAAGTGACATGGAAGCAACGCAAGGTCACGAAGTAAATCTTTTTGTTTTTTAACTAATGAAAAATATTCCGAAAAATATACTTATTTTGCTCACCTGGCTATAAAGGAAATTAGCCATTTCTCCTCAACTTTTTTTCTTTTAAGACCCGGTTGTCATATTGCTCAGGTGACATGTCAAACAAAAACGGGTACTCCTGACAATTGTTCACTAGTTTAGCGCTCTGCTGGCCTTCAGATATCCATAGTGGATGCTACTCTCTCATTGGCTGTAAGTAATCGCGATGTTATTTTCAACCAAAACACGATTCACACGGCATGATTTGAATCGTCGACAGGTCCAGATATTTAGAATGCCAAATATCTAACGGTTGTCTGCGACTAATCTGCGATTCTCTCTAATCGGGTCTTTGACAGTTCACAAGGTTCAATTGTTACTCACGTGGATAAGCACCGAATTTCGAAAATTCTGCTACTATTTTTAGGGCTATTGTAAGATAACAATTGGAAAAAGGTTCTAATAGTTAAGATTAAGATGTTGTTAATTTCTTAGTTAATGCCTAATAACACATTACAATCAAAGCATTAGTCTGATTACAAGTTGTAGCTGTTTTATTAAATGTAGTTATAACTAATCAAATCTATTTGTATTTTTGTAACTATTTTTAATATAGTAATTGTAATAAATCTGATTTTTCCCACTTTCCAATGTTGATTTTATTCCATTAACTAACACTTTGTAATAAAATGTTATTGTAAAGTATTTTATAATCCTTTTGCAATTCCTGAGCAGGAAAATACAGTAACTAGCATTGACAGGCACATGTATGTATGCTGCCAAATTAGCTTCATTTGGACAAAGATGGACAAACCTAAGACTTTAAAAAGACGATGCGCTTCTTTGTCCCATGTCCAATGTTCTAATTTCTTACACAACACAATGCAAAACCTTGAGTCGCACAATGCTGTGCTTCTAGTCTGGGGTGCAGAATGCAGACAGGATAGGTTTAACATGATGTATGGACGTTGACTACAGCAGAATTGAATGTCACTCCCAGCTTGTGTTCTGCTAATGTGAACTGTAAATGGAAGTGAAAGTGTTGCAAATGCATCAAGCGCATCTCTATGACTCTGAAGCAAAAGCAATACTGATATAATTTTTAAATATAATGATTATAGATAGTGGCGAGGCAGTGGCACAGTAGGTAGTGCTGTCGCCTCACAGCAAGAAGGTCGCTGGGTCGAACCTCGGCTCAGTTGGTTTTTCTGTGAGAAGTTTGCATGTTCTCCCTGCCTTCGCGTGGGTTTCCTCCAGGTGCTCCGGTTTCCCCCACAGTCCAAAGACATGCGGTACAGGTGAATTGGGTAGGCTAAATTGTCCGTAGTGTATGAGTGTGTGTGTGAATGTGTGTGTGTGTGGATGTTTCCCAGAGATGGGTTGCGGCTGGAAGGGCATCCGCTGCGTAAAAACTTGCTGGATAAGTTGGCGGTTCATTCCGCTGTGGCGACCCCGGATTAATAAAGGGACTAAGCCGACAAGAAAATGAATGAATGATTATAGATTTTATACATTTTATTTGAAGACATTTACTTTAAAGGTTATAAACAAACAAAAAAATGTATTGCTCTCACTTTAGAATAAAAGCAGGTTTTTCTTTTTGCTGTGTTTCAATGTTACAGAACATTCAGAAATAAAACTTATTAAGCTACATTAGGTATATCTCATATACAGTGTATCTCTCATTTATTTGTGGAGATTCCACTGATTTTTTTTAAACCATAGTTAACATGTTGTGCCGTCTCATGTGTACGATTGTAATAACAAAGGCCCATGGGCAAGGTCGCATTAATAATAATGAGCTTAGGCTGAGAAACTAGACAGTGTTAGCTTCGGATTACTTTATCAAACAATATTTGTTTTCAACATGCACTCACTGCATTTAGAAGTAGACACTTCAAGCTTTCTTTAGATATGTCTCATGTCTGTGTGTTGTGTTTGAGTATATGCGGTTGCAGACCCCATAGGGTTAATCATTTAGTTAAATAAACTAAATCATTAGTAAAATGGCAATACTGTCATACATAAATTTTAATCATGAACAAAACAATAGAAAGTTGGAAATATGTATTTGCAACAAA